GAGTGTAATTTACCAAATTAAAAGGTTAAATAAAGAACAGGCCTATGATCATCTCTATCAATGCAGAACATGTATCTGACAAAATTCAACACTCATTTATAATTAAAATAATCAAACTGTCAGGAAATTAGGAGCAAAAGGAATCTGATAAAAGGGCTTCTGTAAAAAAGTAAATAATCTAAAATCAAACTTGCTGGTTGAATATTGAACATGTTACCCCTAAGGTCAGGAACAAGGCAAGGCCGTCTGCTCTCCTCCCTTCTGTTCAGTGTTACAGTGGAGGTCGTAGCCACTGCACTAAGACACAAAAAAAGTAACGAAAGCATAAAGATTGGAACGAAAAGTGAAAACTCTCCATACCAATGGTTTCCACACAAAATCCTACGTAATCTACCAAAAGCTACCAGACCTATAAGTGAATTTAACAGTATTTTATCTTGTGTGTGACTTAAGATTAGTACACAAAAGAATCAATTTTATTTTTAGGTACTAGTGGGAAAATAGGAGCTCTGGTAGCATAGTGCCTAAGGCACTTGACTGCTAACCAGAAGGCTGGCAGTTCAAACCCACCAGCCACTCCTCGGAAGGAAGATGGAGCAATCTACTTCCGTAGTGAAACTGCCTCGGAAACCCAAGGAGGAGTCGCTATGAGTCGGGGCCAACTCGACAGCACATAACAACAACAACAGTGGTAAAATAGTGGACAGTAAAGTTTTTAAAACTCCATTTAGAGTTGCATTCCTCTTACACAATGCATTGTTTATTAAGAAAGCAACAAAGCAAGCCAGCGGGACAAATGAACAAACCAACCAACCCCAACAAACAAAAAGCCACGTGTTTTTAACAAACACGGTCAGAGTATCTACATACCCATATGGGGAAAAAATGAAACTTGCTACTAGCTCACACCATACACAAAAAAAGAATTTACATGAGTAATATGCTCCCTTAGACAATGAATTTGTTGTTGTGTTGTTATGTGCTGTCAAGTTGGCCCCGACTCATAGCGACCCCTCCTTGGTGTTTCCGAGGCAGTATCTCTATGGAAGTAGATTGCCCCATCTTCCTTCTGAGGAGTGGCTGGTTGGTTTGAACTGCCAGCCTTCTGGTTAGCAGTCAAGTGCCTTAGGCACTATGCCACCAGAGCTCCTAGACAATGAATTACATGACACCAAATGGTCAACATTTAGCGAAACACAAAAGTGAGGCAGCAAGGAGGGGAAGGGAAGCTAGATCAACAGAAACAGAACCAACAGAATGGAACTAACAAGAATGCTGGCTGACACAATGTAAAAACTGTAACCAATGGCATGGAACAATCTGTATAAAAACTGTTAAAGCAGAACCCAATTTGCTGTGTAAACTTTCACCTAAAATGTACTATTTTTTTCAAAAGAATTTTCAATGAATCACAAACCTACACATAAAAGTTGCAACTATATCAGTGTTCCCTGAGTTACTCATAGAATTCAGGTGAAGCCTTGATTATGTGAAAATTACGTAGAAATTCAAATAGAAGTAAGAGTAGCACCTTCCGTTATCTAATAAGGTAAATGTCAGATTAAAAACGCCATCCCACCCTCCAGTTCTCCTTCAAAACAACAGGCCAAACGTACACAAATTTTAGGGTTAAAAGTGTAATTTTATTTAGATGTTACTTGTACATAATCTATAGTAAGATATACAAACAGATAAAAATTGTTTAACAGGAGTTAGTTTGTGTCTTTAATACCATTTTAAAGTCAATTTACAACAGCACTGGTAATACTGCAAAAGGACAGGTAACTCTGATTTAGAAAACAAACATTATCCGCTATTCTGGCTGATACATTCCCACTAGTCTTCAATCGATTAAACTGTATCCCGTACTTCGGTTGCATATTATTCGAAAACCTTCACACCCCAGTCACTCAGTGCTCAGAAAAGATCGGGTGTTCTCACAGTTTACTGAAATGAAAATGTCGATTTTCTAATAGTATTCTTAACTAAAGAAAAACGTTTAAGGATACCAAATCTTACGGTTTGGCGCTAACGATACAAACTAATTTGCCTTGTGTTCAAGCACACCACGTCTGTGTAGGTAATGCATGGTACCGAATAATGATGTCATCCCCTCGGCGCATCAACGATGCTCAGAGAAAAAGGTTCATGAGACAAACGTTTAATTGAAATATGCTGTTGTTGAGTGCTGTCAAGTCAATGCTGACCACAGCGCCCCTAGTGGACAGGATAAAACCGCCCCAAAGGGTTTTCAGGGCTGTCATCTTTATGGATGCAGACTACCACATCCTTCTTCGGTGGAGCGGCTGGAAGATTCGAATTGTCGACCTTTTGGTTAGCAGCCAAGTGCTTAACCATTGCGCCACCAGGGCTCCTAACTAAAATACTCATGGGGAAAATTAAACTGGGGACAACTTAAAGAAACCTGGCTATTTATAACTGCACTTAAGTTTATAGAAATTTATAGATGCAAAACATGCTTTTTAAACATTTTCTTCATGTGTTTGGGTGAACACTTCTTGAAAATGAAATAGAAAATTCAAAGCCTGCATTTTTTTTGTTCTCATGCACGACCATGGTTTAGTTTAGTTCAGAAAATGTCTCGATTTTAATTTTAGGAGAAATCTAATTTACCGCAAAAAAAGGGCTCCAAAAATAACCTCAACTGGACTATATCCTTTCTCAATTATTTAAAGGAAGCATGTACCCAAAAAAAGCTAGTACAGCTAAAAATTAGACTCAGATCAACAGGGATGAGCAGGGTCTTAGACAAAGGGATGCAGAGATTCCATTATTCAGTGGCAAAATCTGTGAGGCTGACCCCAAAAGGCAGACTCGACAAGATGAATGCCCACAGCCAACCAAGTGTCCATGCAAGACAGCAGACAATACTCGGGTGGCCTGGCTGATTCCCGGCAGAGAACTCATGACCAAATCATTTACATTCCTACCATCAACTCAAATAACTGAACTGAAGGTTCTCTCCTTCACTGTTAACTAAGCTATAGTCACTAATAACTACAACCTGTTTAAAATGTCCTTAAGCAGCTAAGACCTCCTTAGTGAGTATAAGTAGATGTGTGAAGCCCTATCTATAATCAAAGCCAGGGCCCTTATTGATTCCAAACAAGCAGTTATCGTTTATCCAGAATTACAAAATAGAAGCTCTCATTTTTGAGTTTCCCCAGGGTTTGTGTCAGCTAGGAAAATAAACCCCACAGGTCTCTAGTATGGCCACGTGTGGGAGAGGAATGGGGAAAGGGGCAGGTGACAGGAAAGTGATGAGCTCACAGCTACGGGGCTCATCTAGGTCACGCTGTGAGGTACTCTGGAAAGACAGTATGAGAAAACAGAACTGTGTGCTTCTAGGATAGAGCAAAGGCCCTAAGCATGTGCCTGGCCCCAAAGTGGCCCCCACACCAGGAAGAGTGAGTCGCTGTCAGGATCTACTTGACCCTAAACCTGTTTGGTGTTGCTGGGAGCCCCCGAGTTGATTTAGATTCACAGCTGCGCGGACAGAGCGGAACTGCCCCATAGGGTTTGCAAGGCTGTCAATCTTCACAGAAGCAAAGCCCAAACCACACCCACCGCCATGGAGTCCATTCTGACTCACAGCGCCCCTAGAGGACAGAGTGGAACTGCCCCGCAGGGTTTCCAAGGCTGTCAATCTTTACAGAAGCAAAGCCCAAACCACACCCACGGCCATGGAGTCCATTCTGACTCACAGCGCCCCTAGAGGACAGAGTGGAACTGCCCCACAGGGCTTCCAAGGCTGTCAATCTTTACACAAGCAAAGCACAAACCAAACCCACTGCCTGGAGTTGATTCTGACCCACAGCGCCCCTAGAGGACAGAGTGGAACCACCCCATTGGGTTGCTAAAGCTGCCAATCTTTACAGGAGCAGATTGCCAGGTCTTTTTTTCTCCAGTAGAGCTGCTGGTGGATTTGAACTACCGACCTTTCGGTTAGCTCTTAAAATCCAGATCAAATGGAAACAGGAGCCATCTGCAGCACGTGCTGCAGGGCTCGGAGTGGGCTCCCTCGGCACATAGCTTCCAGGAAGCAAACTGGGCAGGTCTCCTTTGGCTCCCTTATGACTCATGTCTGTTCCAGGTGGTTGGTGTCCAAGTTGTAATGGTGGCCAGGTGATTTGGAGGACCACCCCCAATGGTCCCTGAGGGAAAAAGGACCCTGCTCTTCACTGTCACTGCTACTGAGCTGCCAAAAGCGCGTACAAAAATCACCAACAAGCGTTTATGCAGCTGATGCCCATGGGGTGAAGGAAGATTACTGTGGAGTCTTGCCTAAAAGGGGGCCCTTCCAAGTTCACATTCTACTAAAGCGTGCAAAGGAAGTGACATTATTCAACGGAACATTCAAGTGCACTCAGAGGCAGCCAAGTCAGAAAACCAAAAGCAAAAACATTTGAGTCTCCTCCATGGTTCGAACTTTCTCTCCAGAACCAGATTCTTTCGAAACACGTTTTAAAAAAAAAAAAAAAAAAAACAACCAAGAAAGAAAAAAGCAAAACGGTATCACTTACTGATTGGAAGACATCACTGGCACACAGTGTGAATCTCGCAAAAACCTGACAACCAGGTAGCTTCACAAACACACAGCAAGTCTGTGGGATTACAACGAAGAAGAATAAACCCAGACTGCACTAAATACTCTCACGGCCAAGAAGAAAGCAAAATGCCGTGTTCCGGACGATGCAGTAATTACAGCACGTTTCCTCAGGCGCAGCACGATTTGCTATGTCAGTGGCACTTACGTATTGCACAGTAAATACTGAAAGAAACCCAGAATGTTTGGATGTGCAGAAGCAATATCACGTTATTAATACAAAAGTGGCTAAGCTATAGGATTATAATACCGCTACTGGAGTGTCGAGACCGCTTAGCGTTTTCAATACACGTGTAGCACTTGGTCTCCAGGTGGCAACCAGCTGCTCACCCCGTCACACCGCCTGGCGCCTACGGTCATTCTGGACACGGCCTCAGTCCGACCAGTCGTTGTCATCGAACTCTGAGTCGTCGTCCGAGTCGCTGTACTCCACGGCGATGCGCCTGGAGAGGATCGTGGCCACGTCGTCCCCCACGGGCTCGCGTCTGGCCTCTTGTTCCCGCTGCTCCTGCACCTTTTTCAGCTGGATTCCTAAAGACAGATGCGGCGAAGAGTCAAATCCCTCTGCTTATGCCAGAACGGAAGGAAACCAAGCTAAGCAGTCTATTCGACTTTTTTTTCCTACTGACGTTAAGGATAGAAATTTTTAGAAATTCAATGGGAAGAGGTTGGGGGATATAGGTTTAATGACAAAAAGGCAAAGAGCAACTCATAGTCATATAATACTTCTTCTGTTTGGGTAATAAAGTAATAAAATATACAAAAAAAGTTATAAGGTCTATGCATGTAACATTAAAGAAAACTCTGGAGCTTCACTGTCCAATATGCTAACCATTAGTCACGCTGGCTACTTTAACTTAAATTTCTATGTGGCTAATTCAATGCTATAGAGTTGATTCCAACTCATAGTTACACTACAGAACAGGGTAGAAGTGCCCCACAGGGTTTCTAACACCGTCAATCTTCATGGAAGCAAAACTCAAACTACACACCCTGGAAGCAAAGCCCAAACCCAACCCACTGCCTGGAGTCAACTCTGACTCACAGCGCCCCTAGAGGACAGAGTGGAACTGCCCCACAGGGTTTCCAAGGCTGTCAGTCTTTACAGAAGCAAAGCCCAAACCAAACCCACTGCCTGGTGTTGATTCTGACTCACAGCGCCCCTAGAGGACAGAGTGGAACTGCACCACAGGGTTTCCAAGGCTGTCAGTCTTTACAGAAGCAAAGCCCAAACCACACCCACTGCCATGGAGTTGATTCTGACTCACAACGCCCCTAGAGGACAGAGTGGAACTGCACCACAGGGTTTCCTAGGCTGTCAGTCTTCACTGAAGCAGACTGCCTCCTCTTTCTCCCGTGGAGTAGCTTGTGGGTTGGAAACACCATCCTTTTAGTTAGCAGCCAATGGCTTTAACCACTGTTATGTCTGTGCTACCAGGGCTCCCTTTATATGTGGCTGATGGCTGCCATATTGCATAGCATGGCCATGGTCCATTTCTCCCCTAACAGACCATGCTATTGGACAATGCTCCAATCCCAGGGTGTGAAAAGCAGTGTGCTGCACTAAGAGCTCTCTGCTAACCTGAGGAGGAAGTGGAGAAAGCTTTGCTGAAAATGGTCATCACATACTCCCTTATTAAGAAACAAAATACCACACACACCCCAGACTTTTTTTTTTTTTCCTGGATGATTTGAGAGTAGACTACAGATAATGTCCTTTTGCCCATAAAATGTTTCATGTGTTATTTCCTTAAAAAACAATGATCAAAATCAGAAAATTAACATACGTACAAAGTACTACCACCACCCAGCCTACAAATCTTCAAATTCTGCCAAAAACCTCATGTATCAACTATGAACACTAACGCCCTGGGTTCAGGATCCGATGCAGGGCCACCCAGTGAGTTGGTCATCATCCCTCTTTAGCGTCCTTTAACCTGAGGCAGTGGTTGAGTCCTTGTTTTTATGGTTCTGACATTTAAGAATACAAGTGGGTCTTTTGTTGAAAGGCCTTCACTTAGTTTTTTCTAATGTTTTGTAATGATTCAGGTTATGCATCAATTCTTACTGGGCAGGGCTGACGCTTGTACTGAAGTGGATCCCAACATCTTTCTACGACCCCCAAATCGAACCAATGAGATGTTTAACTTCGGGACTTGGTTTTGTTCGTTTTCAAGAAAACTAAAGTGGGTCAGTGATGTTCGAGAAGGATCACAGGAACCCTGGGCTCCCTGGTGGGCCGCCTCAGGAGTGAATCGAGGGCACTGAAGCCAACAGCCAAGGAAGGCAAGGACACAGCCCTCCCTCTCTGTGAGGGGCGTTACTAAGGTGCCAGGGCCTCCAACGCTGAACCAGAGCTGTCCTGGCTCCACCCCTCAGCCCCTTCCACAGCAAACCACCGAGCTGTAGCCATGATACCACGTAATTCCTTCCGGTAGGAGAACAACAACACAACACAATGCACTGCCGTGGAGTCGGAGCCGACTCACTGCAACCCCTCCTTGGGTTTCCCAGGTTGTATCACTCACTACAGAAGTATATTGCCCAACCTTCCTTCCAAGGAGTGGCTGGTGGGTTTGAACCGCCAGCCTTCTGGTTCCTGTAAGAGAAGCTCTAGGAATATTTCCAAATCCTGTCAGCGGCCCTCACACTGGGGCTGTGACATGGGGCTGCGTTAACAGTGTGCGTGGTTCTGAAGGGGCCCCTGGGAGCAGAGGGGAAGCTGAATGGTGAGGTTCTCGCTCCCCACATCCGGCTTCAGCCCGAGGAGCTCCCTGTACGTGGGGACAGAGGGTGTGGGATCATCACCTGACAGAAGGACACTGCTGCTAGCAACGTCACAGAACAAGCATTTAGAACATCAAGTGTTCTAAAGTATGAAAAGTCCAGAACATGCCCTAGATTATTATTTTTAAAACACACCAGCCGATTCTCTTTCCCTTATACGTGTACCCTTTGAGTAGAAGGCAGAGAAAACACCCAATCATCAGCTAACCCTTTCTGTTATCTGGTTTCTAGTCCAGGGCCTTCCCTGAACTGCCAATTTTTGATCCTCTGAGTTTACTCTGCATTGGCAAAAAAAAAAAAAAAACAACAACAAACCAACCCACCACCAAGCTGGCTTCGCCAACTCTATTCCAACAAGCCACCCTCACCCAGCAGCCACTTGCAGACGACGAGGCTGTGGCTTGCTGGAGACAGGCAGACATCTCTTTCCACCGAAGACTCTGTAGGGACGTGTCCCACTTACCCATTCGGATGGCAGCCAGAAGATCGCTGCGCGCATCGCTGATGGGCGGCTGGGCGGATTCCTGGCGCTTCGCCTCGGCCACTGGGGCGCCATGC